TCCAAAACAAGGTTTCCCTTCCAGCACTTCAGCCCAGAGACTGCAAGTCCATATTTTTCTAATTATTTATCATTACCATTGTCACCATCATTGTCACCACAGATGTTGTTGTTTTCTCTCACTTATCACTCTGAAAAATCTGACTTTGATACAGCAGTTTTCACGAGCAAGCAAATATTCCCTTTTCTCAGCTTATTCTCAGTGAAATGCAAAGGTCTTAAACACATCTTGTCATGGTCTCTATAATCTCTTTGTCCTTGGAGTCTGCTACAATTTTGTCAAGTTTGTGCTCCTCTCAATATTCCTATGTTCTAATACTCTTATCAGGAGTCTGCCTTTGAGCTTTGGATTTGTTATTCTTAGCCTGGGGTCTTCTGTCCCAGATATTCACATAATTTATTCAATTATTTTTCTTCATATTTGCAACGCAAACCTTGTTTTACCAGCAGGGTGTGACTTCCTTCGCAGCAATCAGAATGATTTGATGTATTTAATTGTTTATTGTCTACTTACCCCCGGCGAAATATAAATGCGACTTTTCTTACTCCCAGTCTTCTCAGCTCTTAGGGTACAGCTATTATATAAAGCTGTGTCAAAGATAAGATGGAATAGGTGTGTTAATCTTATACAAAGTGGATTTTACTACTAGAAAAGGCATAAATCACAAAGAAGGTTATTGAATTACTGTAAAATGGTCATTCCTCCAAGAGGAGGCAACAAACGTTAACCTTCATATTCCTCACAGAGAGCATTATAGCACTCAACGAGAAATGGAGTTCCACCCTCAGTATCCACCTTCTCTACCGTCTTATCTGTCCCACTAGTCCCCCTTTCTTACGGCTTTCCCACCCACAACAACATAGTTAAGTTAGTCATTCAAATATAAGGATTTGACTAAAATCCAAATGGTAGAGTGAATATGTAAGGTGCTCTTCTGGGCCACGCTTACTTTCCTCATTATTATTTTTCCCGGTTCCATTTATTTATTTGAGAATTTTATAATTTCATTTTTTTCTATAGCTTTAATTGTTATAGGCCAAGATTTAAAATAGATTTTCTATCTTCTAAGATGATCATATTTCTCTGATTATTTTGTGTCAGTTGATCTTTGTATCTCATTCCTACTAATTATAGACCATTGGGAAAATGCACTTTGCCCTCTACGTTGCATCCAGTTTCAAAGTGTATTGAAATGGTAACTTTTAACACTCTGAAAATTGAATCCCCTGAAAATGTACCTGGTGTATAACATTCCAGAAAAACATCTTCCCCGATGTTCTTTAGAGAATAAAGTCTTTTTGGTAGGTATATATGATTGTGATGTATGTGTGGCGTGTGTGTATCTGTGTGCTTGTGCACATGCTTCCCAGAGACCAAGGGAAAATTTCAAATGTCCTCCTCAGCCACTCTGTATTGTTCTTTTGAGACGGACTCTTAATTGAACCGGGAGCTAGGTTGCCTGGCAACTAGCAAGCCGTCGCCATTCTTCTTCACCTCCCTGAGCACTGGGGCTACAGGTGTAGGTAACAGCCATGGCTTTTTCTGTAGGTGCTGAGGTCTGGGCCTGGCTGCCATCGCCGTGCAGAGAGAATTCTCATACACTGAGCCATCTCTCCAGTAAATAAAAAGTAAAGTCTTTGCTTTGAAAAAACACAATTGTAAAAACATAATCACACCTAAATCCACCATAAGGTTCCTTTTAATAGTTTCTTTAGTGTGCATAAAATGTGAGCATCTTCACACGGCAAAACAGCAACACCAGCAATAACATAAAACCAAACCAAAAGATCCTTATACTCTGCTTTTCAGGATTACAGTAATCCCACAGTGCAAAGCCTATTTGTATTCATGAAGCAGAAATACATATTCATTTTATTAAAAAATCTGCCTCCAAGCTCCACTTCTTTCTTCTGATGGAAATGTAACAGAGGAAGCTGGGAGGAAGCTACCGTTTTCACCCTTTGTTTTGTCTGTCAAAACCTGCTCTTTCTCAAAAAGTTCTTTAATCAACCTATACAGCAATATTTATGCTCTATGATCTCAACTTTCTCCCGTATTTTAGACTGAAGAAGAAAGGTACCCCCACTCCAAACTGAGAGGCAGAAACTATGGAAGCACAGTTGTATCCTCAAACTGCTGGCTGGGTTTGGTTCCAGAGATATAAACCCAAGAGCTAGGAACCTTCAGTCTACTTTGTTGTGGAGGCAAACAGCAAAGGCCAGTGAGCCCCTTGCCCTGCCTTGACTGCCTGTCGGTACCTTATGGGGCCAATGCTGGTACCTACAGGCGATGCCAGTTAATGATCACAATTGTATCACATCTAAGCAATGGCATCTCTTAGAGCTCTTATCTTATAGCTTATCTTATAGCTCTTATATATTTCCTGTTTCCGCGTCTGCAATCTTCCGTGAGCCTTGGGGAGGGGGTGGTGGTATCCTTGATTTATGTGGGACTGGACCCTGCTTACTGTGTTTTTGTCTGTCATGAGTATACCCACCACAGTTCACTAGAAGGGGAGGCTTCTCTAATTAGGACTGGGAGATCCTTTTGACTTAAGTTTTTCTCTATTTAACATGACTTTATCTATAGGACTACCTTTATTAAATTGAGATATACACTCTGTATCCTTATATTCTCCAGCACTTTTATCATCTAGGATTGTTGGATTTTGTCCAAGGCCTTTTCTTCAGCTAGTGAGATAAATGATCACATGGTTTCTATTGAGTTCATTTTTGTGGTGGATCGCATTTCATTATTTACTCATATTGAAATATCCCTGAATCTTCGAGATGAAACTGCCTTGATCATGGTGGATGATGGATGGTGTTCTAGGATTCAGTTTGGAAATATTTTGGTGAGAAATTTTGAGTCTATCTTCACTCAAGAGTTTGGCCTATATTTTTTTTTCTTTTTTATTGGGTCTCTGTCGAGTTTTAGTATCAGGATAATACCGGCTTAGTAAAAAGAATTTGGAGGTGTTCTCTTTCTATTTCACGAATAGCATGAGGAGAATTGGCATTACTTTTTCTCTGGAGATCTGGCACAATTCTCTGCTGAATGTATCTGTACCTGGGCTTCGAAAAAGATAAATTTCCAAGGGAGAAAACGAACCGGAGCAGTGGGCCAGTTTAGACGCTGGAATGACAAAGGCTACACAGGAGACAGGGCTTCTATGTCCCATTTTGTGGGCTTATATGTGTGTGGCATGTTTGTATGCACATGTTGTATGGTTGTGGACTTACCTGTGTATGCATGTGTAAAAGCCGTGGGTTGACATCAGGGGGTCTCCCTTTATCACACATTGTCTGATTGTTTTGTAGAAGAAGTCATTGAGCCTGAAATTTATATTTCAATAAGACTGGCTAGCCAGTAAGCCCTTAGATGGGCCTACTCCATCTCCTGTTGCTGGAATTGTGGGGACATACTGCCACACCCGACTTTACCATGAGTCAGACCAAAGTCAGATCCTCCTACTTGCCCACTGAGCTATCCACTCACCTCCTTGTGGACTTTTTGCCTTTTCCTCATAATGTGAATTTTGTCAGTCATATCTCTGTGTTATATACAGTTCCACATACACCTTTGTTCATTTCTAGTCTTATTAACTAACAGCTTACTTCTCTCCCAGGGGCAATTGGTTTCAGTATTATAATGAAGCATGAGTTACCTTGAGGCTTGGGGAAGTGCTCCTGTACCTGGGCCACAGGATCTACCTAGCTCTGGCTGGCCTTGACTAGGGAGTTTCTTCTTTGTCAATAGGTTTTCTCAGTTGCTAATTTTGCAGCCCTGGTCTAAGGCTTTCAGGATTTCATTCTCCTCACTCCTAACTCTACTGTCCTACCTCTGTGCCCCAGACTAGCCTGGAAGCCACTATTAGTCAAGACGAGCCTCCACCTCACCTCTTCAGACTCCAGAGCACTGGAATTGTGGGCGTGAACCAGCACACCTTGCTCCTTTGCATTCTATGGGAAATTCTACCTGAATCCCTTGAAAGCACTTTCATTGTATTATTTATCTGCTGAAAAACACGTGGCATATTTATAAGGAAAACAAAATTCCAATTCTTGTTAGTCTAAAATTCTAGATCTGTCAAATGTGCACATCTTTCTCTGGCTTCCAGATTCCTTTCCCAGCACTCAATATGCAGAGAACAAGAAAGGGATTCTACTGCTTTCTGTCATTTCATATGTTAGGTCCCTGTAGCAACTACATTTCTCTCCCTTTCATAAATCAAATGTAGTCTTTATAATCTAGCAGAGACTTCCTCGTTTCATGTTAAAAGGTGGAAGCCTGCTTTATTTAGTTAAGATGAATTATTTGTTGTCAGCAGGGTCTGCTTCAAACAGTCAGAGATGAACTTGAGAGTCTGCTTTGAGGAAATCCTATAAGGACTTGCTCACATAGCTGTGGGGTGGTGTGGTCCTACTCCAATAAAAGATCCCAGTCATTTTAGTGAAGGGCTGAGGTGGCTGCTGTCCCTGAGAAGACAGAAGTGAAGACCAAGGAAGTTCTCCTGTGCCCATGAGTCTTGAGGCTCTTTAAAACAAGGACTCTGCATGCAGTCAGAAAGAATAACACGATAGGAAGTCATGGGAGGCTAAACTCTCCAGGCATACTAATGACCCAAAGACACCATTGACTTGGCTTGACATAACTGTAAGGACAATCAGAAAATGAAGAACAGCCTCTCCTGGAAAGTTGTACTAATGCCATGGTAAGATTTGTGCCTGAAACATGATATTTAATAAACTTAATGACTAAAGTATTAAAATCAATGAAAGCATGATAAGTATAATAAATCATATTTAATAATTTGCCATCTTTCACATATGTTCATTAGAAAAATGTATTCACACTGGTGTTTTTCGTATTTTGCCTGTGGATGATCATTAACTGCTTATTATAATGATTTACTGCAATGAAAACCTTATGTGGAAAGTTCTTAACGTTATCATCTGTAAACAAAAGGTTCTCATCAATTTGTGTTTTTCTTTTTCTAGGGTCAGACATTGTTCAGTGGTTAATAAAGAACTTAACTATAGAAGATCCAGGTAAATAAATCATTTTCCCATTGTCAGATTATTTTTCTTTGTGGTTTTGATAAATGTGCTTTTCTCAAGGCTATTTAAAATAATAATCAAGCAATTTTCATGATAATAAACATAATTAAACTTGAACTCTATGTTTAGTGTTTATACAAAGTCAACATATTTTCAACTATAATTAAATATTTATGTATAATTTCTACATATATAATGATCCATTTTATTTAAATATGGTTATTTGTGATTTTTTAGAATAGATTATATATATACCCATAAATAAATGTACATGTAATTTGTAATTTGTAGCAAATTATTGTGAAATAATTAAATTTCTCTTTGGGACACTTTAAAGTAAATCTCATTAATTTACCATTTGCCTTAGTTCTTATTTTGATAAGATTGGAAAACAATATGCTTTTGGCAGTTCTGATTTTTGGTCATGTGTATGTGTGTTTAATGCTTACAGTGAAATCTTGAGCTCATTTACACTGGTAGGCAGGGTTAATTCTGTGACAGACTAAATTCCTAAGCTTGAAGCAACTTTTACCAGCTTGTGTTTTGTGTCTCATGGAAGAAACTCTTACACTTCTCAGGCATTCAATGACTGTTGGGGGAAGGGTTGTTTGTTGGTTATTGGCCTCCCAGCTAGCTTAGACCCAAAATAATCAAACAGAAACTGTGTTAATTAAATCACTGCTTGGCTCCTCATTGGCTAACTCTTATATTAATTTAACCCATTTATATTAATCTGTATATCACTATGTTAATTAAATCACTGCTTAGCGCCTCATTGGCTAACTCTTATATTAATTTAACCCATTTATATTAATCTGTATATCACTATGTGGCTGTGGCTTACTGGGTAGAGTTCACAGCATCTGTCCCCAGTGGCTTTATTACTTCTTTCTAACTCTGCCTTCCTTCTCCCATGATATAGGCCAAGCCAGTTTCTTTATTCATTAACCAATAAGAGCAACACATAGTCAGAAGGACCTCCCACACCAAATGACTTTTGAAAATGTGATATAAAACCTTTCATGTGTGGCCAACTATTTACATCTCAAAAATATAAATAAGCTCTGCTATGTAGCAGAGACACTGAGAATCTAATAGCTTTCAGGGTATTAAAATTCCAGCAACAGTGTGTGGAAGAAAGTGTGGGGGACATATTGACCTGTAAAACACTCCACCTACTACCTGGCAAGGGAGGTTTATGTCTTTTGTTCTTCCTCTGCTGATTGCCACCTTAGAATGATTTAAACTTGATAAATATTACATGGATATAAAAGGATTTTTGTCATTTGTGATAGTTTAACAAAACCACTCCATCAGAAAATGTAGCCTGAATTCTATATCCATACCCATGCTCAGAAGATACATGAACTTTGAAAATATTTCTCTAGTTGGTTCAGAGGGATTAAAAGTGTTAACTAAAGAATGGAACCACTATTGCACAACACTACATTGTCACTAAGTGAGAGAGGATGGACTTACAATGAAAGGAAGCCACACTTTAGCAAGTCCACAGTTCAGTCTTATGCCATTGGTATTCCTGATTTGCATATCTACAGCCATTCAGAAAATGGTCCCAAATGTGCTGCTGACTTGTAGCCACCACCACCAATAATAATATAGATCAATGCTTTAAAAATGAATTCAAAAGGGTATTTTTCTATAACAATTTGATATTTAAAATTTCTGGTGTGAAATCCGTCCTGTCTTTAGTCCATGCTGACCTGAAACCACACAATCCGAGCTTTTCAGTTATGTTATGACAAGCAAAACATGATGGTTTTTTATTGGTTAGTTTATTTCTTTGAATGAACAAGTTTACCCTAGATGGAGTATAAGTATAAGCCTCTCTGCTAGGTTTTCAGAAATGTAAAAAGAAACCCTGGTGATTGTTCTGCACACACGGCCTGCTCTCAACTAAATGTGGTTAGCAATGTAGTTGACATTAAGAAAGTTACTTTTATGGCCCTGTGAATGGAGTTGTTTGGAAGGGAGATCGTGTTATTATGATGTCTGGTTTACTTTGGACCTCACCAATGTCCTGAATCTGGTTAAAAATGAAAGAGAATATAATGCTTGGTTCCTGCCAGTCTAGTGTTCTATCTGGTAGCAAAATGTTGTTTCATGGCCTTAATGGGCAATTTGAAGATCTAAATGTCAGTAATTTGTTGAAAGAAGGTTTTTTGAAAACCAGCTGAAAAATAAGACCAATTGTGTATCCAATGGCCCATATGGAGCAAAGTGAGTTTTGTGATCTTCAGGACTTATTCAAGACCCAGGAGCACATATTGTTCACATTAGTATTTAACATTTTGTTAACCAAAGCCAGAGCACCTTCCACTCCCATTCGAGCAATTTAGTATCATCAGACACTATGACACAGTGTAATGTTCTTTTAAAAACAGAACTCCATCATCTCTAGTTAAAATTTATGATTATTCTTAGTTTTATTGGTGTGCACATATATGCATTGTATGCATATCTACAATAAAACCATCTTAGTTACTTTTGTATTGCTGTAAAGAGACATCATGGCCAAGACAACTTATAAAAAGATATTTAATTGGGAGCTTGTTTACAGTCTCAGAGGTTTAATCCACGACCATAATGGTGGGGAGCACGAAAGCACACAGGTAGGCATGACATTCGAGCATTATTTCAGTGCTTACATCTTATCTGCAAGTTGGAAGGAGAAAGAGAACATTTTTATTGGAGCTGGAATGGGCTTTTTAAATGTCTAAGCTCAAGTTCAGTGACACACCTCCCTCAACAAGGCCATGTCTCCTAATCCTTTCCAAACAGCTTCACCATCTAGGAACTAATTGTTCAAACATATGAGCTTATGGGGAGGGGGTACATTCTTATAAAAACCTCCACACAGCCATGCAAGATTTGTCTAATATGTTGGGTTTCTTCTACATTTCAGTCTTCTTTTAAAATATCATTGTAGGAAATATATGAGAATATTATAAGATGATTTGGTTCCTTGACTTCTTCACACTTTTGTTCATTTTAAAAATATTTTTAGGGCTCACTGCTGGCTCCAGGGAAACTTTTCCTCCCTTGATGAGTGATTGTTTCAATGCATTCCCCTCCTGCCTCTTTTTTTTTTTTTTTTTCCACTGGTTTGGTCTCAACCTCTCAAAACACTGTTTAGCTCTTTAGCTAATCTATAATGTTGAAATTTACAGATTGCTGTGTTTTTTTTTCCTGTCTTATTTTCCAACAACACTCACTGCTGCTAAGTAAAATAAGCCCAAGAATTCCCAAATATGTACTGTCTATGTGGTCTTGCTGATGTCTCCGTGATGGATGTTCTGTTCTCTGCAATGCCTGTTTGCGTCTTCTTGCTGGAGGGTAAACACAACACAACTCAACACAGAGCGGAGACTTACTCTTGCTCCTGTCTCCTGTGTTCCTGGCTTCAGCTCTAGAGTTAAATCTATGCTGTGGCACACATACATGAAGTCTGTTCAACGACTAGTCTGGGAAAAGAACAAAACAAAACCAATAGCAACAATAAAACCAAAGTTAATAAAAACTGCCGGATCTCAGTCTACCCTGAGATTTTTGGTGCCTGTTACTGGTGTTTCTAGTCAGTGGCCTATTTGGTGCTTTCTTGTGGCTACTTCTACACATTAGCAGCGTCCTTTCCTACACATGGAAAGCTGTGCTCTACCCAAGCTGTGTGAGGGAGCACAGCAACAGGCGTGACTGACACAAGAAATCCACGCTAACATCTATCCCTAAAATAATCCTGTTTCCTTTTCTATTTTCTCCTTGGCTCAAAGAAGATAAGTCTACTTTCTTATCATTTCTGGGTCGAGGGTTCTCTGTAGCTTTCCACCAAGGATAACCCATATAGTTCTTACATTATTAGCCTTCTGGGTTGCCAGGTATCTTGTGGGCAACAGCATGTTCTTCTCTTCTTTTAAATATAATAATCCTCTGCTTATTTACCTAATAGCCTAAAACTATTCTTTAATGTTAATTTCTATTTGTTCTCTGATAAACCAAACTCTATGATAAACCCCATTAAACCTTCCAAGTAAACGGACATTGTATTTACCTCAGGGTTCTGGGACTCCCGTGATCACCTCCAGCGACCTGAATCGGCTTGATTGGTGTCTGCTTTGCTCTGTGAAACACTGCAGCCAGCTGGTAGGGCAAGGGCTCAGACATTTGACTCGTAAAAATGTGCTAGTCTGCTATCTAGGTAGTTGTTATCTTCTCATCCTTCAGCCTTCTCATCACATTCTCAGGTCCAACATCCTGCGAATTCTTGCTCGTATTACGTTCACTATGATCTCATTCATAGACAAACACTATGAATGCAGAAATCTCATTTGTACTTGCTCTGCCTCTTCAATTTGCCCTCGGGGGTAGATATATGACAATATTATTGGGTTAGGTTTTGAAGATCTTCCTCCCACACCTGTGACGAGCTTACTGGGCGACACCAATGATTCCTTGGTGTCGCCCTGCTCATTTGCTAGCTCAGCCTCCTCTCACTGGACGCTTATGAAGCTACCCTGACCAAAATGAAGAGTCTGGGTAGCGAGGGTTTGCAGTATCAAGATGTGCACTGTATTTCTGTGTTCCTGGAAGGGCGCCTAACTGTTCCTCTGCCATCTAGCTCTGCACAATCCATCCCGTGCTGTTTGAGATTCTTGTCTTCCTTGTGAAGCCTTGACACAGAAGATGTTCCTGGGTTTTACACACAGGGACTTGAGCTGTTAGCTGTTCTGTGGCATCGAGTGAGTTAATGACTCTAATTGCCCTCTTATGTTAAAAACGCTTTAGTTCTGTACTGTACTTTGTGAAGCTTTAACGAGTCCGTGTGGAAGCGGGCCAGAATCTTGATTTTATTTTTAAATTGCACTGGTTCTTTTTAACTTTCTGCAAAGACATTTGTTTGAATTGGTTTTTTTTTTTAAAAAAAAAAATACATGCCATTATATACTTGCCTTTAAACACAACCAATGCCATAAAAT